TCAAGCTGTGCTCCAACCTGTGACTTTCCTTTGCAGACTACCCAGCACAAAGAATTTTGTGAGAAATAATGATTTGCCCTCTTTCCTCTCAGATTTCATGCTTGTGGGTAAGATCTCCTTGGAGATCCAGTTGTTCACATTGTATTGCATAATAGCCAAATATGACATCTCACTGACCTCCTTTAAAGACTAATCCAAGAGACAAGTCTGTTGTGTCAACATGTACTGTGGGGTTTGTTCTTTCTTTTTGGTAGCTGCATCCTCCCGAAAGAAAAATGAATGACTTATCTACTTCTGAGTCTTATTCCCAGTGACAGATGTGACAGGATACTTTTGACAGCCACATTTTAAGGAAAGATCAAAATAGAGTTATCCATAGCAATGACTGCACAGACCAGAAGAGCACTGAATCAGTTTCTTCATCTATAATTGTTACATTAAAACCTTCATTTGGCCTAATCAAGTGTTTAAATAGAGCTGTATTTCTTAAAATAGAGCTGATATAGTTGTATTTTAAATATGAAGTATTAACTAGAACAAATTGGTACAATTTGAGTGTGAACTAAGACAATGTGTGTGATGGGAAATTTTTTGTCAGTAATCTGCTTTTGGAGGGGCACAAGACCCTCACCTCAGCTTGAAATACCAAGCAAATCCATCACCAGTGAAACAGAAAATTACATCACCTGCTTCAAGGAACGAGAAAGGAAAGCACTGCACACTTTCTTAATTGCTTTTTTCTTTCCTTTTTTTTTCTTCCACATTGAGGCAAGAACTAGAGAGGAAAAAATGTCAAGAGTGGAGAGATCACAGAATATTGGCTTCGTTGTTAGTGTGGTGTTAGTGTGTTTTTGAAGTTTCTACGCTGTGCTAGATAGAGAAAAGAAGTGGGAAGGTGGGAAAGAGAAACCCTGCTCAGTCTGGCATTGTGGCAGTGCTGGAAATCAGAAATCAGATAATAGGATTTCACTGTCTGGATCAGCCTCTGGCTGTCTGCAGTATGTTCCGGAAATCACTTTATAACTCTGCTTCCATTTCCTTGTCTGTCAAATGAACATCATGATAACTGCCTCCTCCGAGCACTGGGGTTGCACTGGAGCAATAAAGCATTTGGGAGGAAGGAGTCAGAGGTGTGTGATTTATGAATCCAGCAGGGTCAGGCTGAACTGCCTGTGAACAGCCAAAGGAATCATGGAGTGAGGGGAAAGGGCTCCTGGAGCGGATGCCGATGCTCAGCATGCTGCCCATGCCCAGGGGTGCCCGAGGAGGTGACGCAAATCTTTCCAGCCTTGTCTGAGCAGAGACAAAGTATTTTTGTTTCTCCCCTCACTGCAGTGAGTCCTTGGAGCGTTCGGTGCCTTGGAGTTTTTCAGAAGGAGGGTTCTGCTTGTTCAGTTCTTCTGCGTGAATGTTTTATTAGGATGCTCTGCATGGCTCTTTCCCCACGTACAACTTGTCATGACGTGATTTTATGCTTGAAGACAATAAAAATAAAATGAGTCAGTGAGATAAGGTATTGAGATAAACAGATGAGCAATATTTATAAACCATAAGAGTCTCCTAAATTTGATAACCATCAGTTTGAGCCAATATACCCCATGGTGCTGAAGAAAGAAAAAAATCAATATTGCAGAAGCTTTTACAGGGAATTTATGAGCACTTTGTTCAGGATCAGTGCATGAAGACAAGCATAGCTAGCACTATGCACTTACTTATGAAAGGGCTTATTGAGAAATTCCTTGTTGAATTCACAAACTGTTCCGGGGAATTAAATTGAGGAATATGGAAATGGGCTTTTAAATATTTTTTTTCCATTTATTAGTGTATACTCAGAAGAAGAAAGTGCTGTGATAAATTATCAAACTCCTCTGAGTAATGTGGCTGAATAGACAATAACAGTGAAGCACAGTCCCTGCCAAAGTTCCTAAGGATACCTGTTCCAGTTTCTATCTTATAAGTAGATTAGTATGGGCTGGTTTCTAATAGGAATTCCTCCCCCCAGCCCCTTAAGATAGACTTTCACTGTATTTAGGTACTACTTCCCAGTTAAGGTTGTAGCATAAATAGCTGCTAGCATGCATCAGTCACCGTATTCTCTCAAGGAGCATGGAAGCTGTTTTGTGTGTCAGACCTGATGCTTACACTTTTCCTGATCTGATCCCGGTTTCAGGTATCATTTACTGTCAGTATTCCTAAGAAATTGTTGCTGTGCTGTTTGCCTGGAGAGTGTGCCAGGCATGTGGGCCTCCCCTCAGCCCAGGCCAGGGCTGTGGGTGGCTCCTGCAGGGGTGAAAGAGGGAGCTGATCCCCCACATAGCCCCAGAGCACCATTTTTATGGTCCTACTCAGGCTGTGAATTAAAAGATAAGAAAATAAAGGAGACCATATAGATAAGAATGGTTGTTGGGATGAATTACCAGGCATTAAGAAATGGTTGTGAGTTGTTTGTGAGTGGAAACAGGTGAAAACAATGGGGAGCAGAGTTAAATGAAGCAGCTGAGGCTTGTTCTCCAGTGCTCATCACACAGTTTGGGATGTGACCTGTTCATATCAATTTATGGTGTTGTTGAGGCAGATTATTGAGTGCCAGATCGATTCCGTGTGAGTTAAATGCTGCCTCATCTTGGAAGAGAATATAAGGTGAAGCCAGAGAAATAAGGCTGCTCTCTGGCAGGGTAAAAAGTTAACATTTAAAAAGGTGCTAGAAGAGCTGCAGGCCACTGGCTGATGAGTGTGAGCAGTTGTGTCAGTGAGAAGCAGCAGTGACCTCTTGGTGCACAGGCTCAGTTGGTGAGGGACAGCTGTGGCATAATGCTGCTTTATGTCCCATTCACTCTCTTGGTAAGTGATTTACTCACATCATTACTTTTGGCTGTATTTTGTCTGTATCTTCTAGAGTATGGAGAGAAGCAGGATTTTTGTTCACAAGCAATTTAAGCAGATCTGGCAGCTGAAGTGCAAAGGGGGTGCTGCTCCAGGCAGCTGTAAAGGTGAGGCTGTTGGAGGGTCACTGGAGACAGTCCCCACCACCCAGGGCCAGGCTGAGGTGAGCAGCACTGCTCACTGAACCATGGGGGGTAAAGGGTTGCGAGTGTGCAGTTTTTACCTTTGCTTTACATTCTTTCTTCTATTTGCACACAAAAAAATCTGTCTTACATCTCCTATCCCTAAAGACAATGGGATTTACTGAAGCATTCGTGTGGCTGTGTGGATGGGAGGCTTGTCTCTCTCCCTCTGTAGTGAGACTTAGTTCTTACATGCACTTTAAAGGTTTCAGTGAAAAGCATCAAGAATCAGGAAAATCTTTGATTGAACAGCTCATCTTCTAAGTTACACCTGTGTTGTGCCTTTTGGCCGTGCTGCTCCACAAGGTCTCCCTTGTATTTCTCTTTATTTCCTGCTGGTTGCATATTGGAGCACAAAACTGCACAGAAGCACCGGAGAACTGGGTTTGGAGGGTGTCCTCAGAACACCCCAGCCTGGGAGCCTTGATCTGCTTCTCTGAATGAGAGCCAAGTAACCCTGGTGGAAGGAAGGGATGGCTCAGGCTTCAGATATGTGATGTGTTCGCTCCATTTAGAACACTACTGTGAAATGATTCCTTATCCCTGACTATTAAAGTAGCCTCAACAGTTCCAGGTTGCAGCTGAGACAAAACTGGCTGGGGTTGAGTTGGGAGTGTTGTTCAGCTGAAACGTATAAAAGCATCTCTGATTTGGTCATTTTCACTGCACGGTGTTTTGCACTATGAAGTGGAATTTTCTTGTATGTTTGCCCAAAGTGCTTCATGTTTTTATCTCTACCCTCTTTGCTTTCAGATTCCATCAGTAATTGTGGGAATCGGTGCTGCTTTAATTAGTGCTCCCTGTGCACTGTGCTTTGCAGATTACAGATTTTACATTTGCCACCTGTACCTCCCTCTGCAGCAACACCAAGCACTTGCTTTGGTCCCTCCCTGCGCTGCAGAGCAAGGAGGTATTCCCTTTCCCCAGGAAAGGGAAAAACAACACCAAATCCTATCTCTGCTCATTGGCATTTTTTGCCCTAAGGGAAGGTGACAGTGGCATGTCCTCACACCAGGAGGCAGCTAAACACAATCGATACAGGCAAGAGGAACAGATAACTGCGTAACAGATCCAGGAAAAGCCTGTGCTCACAGTTCTGGTGGTACATGGCGTTAGGGATCTCTCCCGCTGCCAGCAGGTGTTCCAAGTAATGCTGTCAAAGGTCTCCAGGCAGAGATGGGGTTGCTCATAGAGCTCTGCCTACCCAGGTGATGTGAAAGCAGAGGATCCCCATGGCCTGCTTAAAAGAACACAGGTTTCTCTCTGTGCCATGCTTGAAGTGGAAGTGGTGTTTTCCCAGGACGAAGCAGCCTGGGATTTGACCTTTCTGCATGGCTGTTCACTGAATTTGTTTGTGGTTTCTCTGCACTGCAGTATCTCCACCTGTGCCTAGGAGGGCTCTGATGCCAGACTCCATGAGGGCATTGGTCACAGGCTGTAATTTAGACATTAATACTCTCCAGCAATAAAAACCATTACTCTGATCTCCCCCAGGGAATTGTCCTGTCCTTTTGTATGAGCGCTCCTTTATTCTCCTCTCACTTGTAACAGTTGTCTTGCTAAGGCATTGTTTTGGTGAATCATACATATCGAAGTGTGTTTTCTTCTTCCCTGTTCTCCCACCCCTGTTGTTCATGCTCTTTTTTTTTTTCTTGTTACTCTTCTTAAAATGTCTGTACTTTGCTCTTGTTTCCCTTTAAATGTTTGAATAATCAGCAGCAGCGGGCACAGAAAGATTTCTGTCGATGTGAGCTGTATTGGTAAGTATTTGACACGGTTTGCTGAGTAGGGAAGGGGGGGCAGTGGAGAGAGACTTTTATTCAGCAGCAGCTTTCCATCACTTCCTCAGTTTCTTGTTTGCAAGGAGAGCTTTCAGACAGCCTTTCCGGTGTTCCTCTGATCTCTAAATGCATGTTTCCCGAATCTATTCCACAGGTGCCAACGAAAAAGCTGAAGAAATATGAGAGAGAGTACCAAACCATGCGAGAGAGTCAGCTGCAGCAGGAAGATCCTATGGACAGATATAAGGTAGGAGATGCTATACAGGAACCTGTTCCACTGGCAGATCCCATGGGAGTGACCCGGTTCCAGCAGCTAAGCAGAAGTGTGTGTACCACACTCACCTCTCTGGGATGTGCTGGTGCAGACCTTAGGGAAGTGCAGTGCCAGGTGAAACTCAGCCCCTTTCTTGAACAGGCACTTTAAACACTTGAACTTAGTAGTTCTTTCCCAGGAATATTTCAATCACAATTTGTAACTCTCAAGACATCTGCAAGTAGCCACATATAATATTTTTCTTCTTTCAGTTTATATGTTTGTAGGTAACTCTCCTGCTGTTGCACTTTTATGGGAGATCTTCATGAGCCGCAGAAACAAAGGGGGATTCTCAGCTACAGACACAGAAAGGAGAAAATACACGTTGTTCTAGCGCAAGCTATGTGCAGTGGCATCCTCAGAGACTTTGGAAGATGAACTCTTCCTTGGCTGATATGATCCTTGTTGTTCATTCCTGTTTATACCAAGTGTTAGTAGTTTTTTGTTAAGATAATGCCTGGTACGGTGGGACCCAGGGGTCCCTGGCACTGCTGCAATAGAATTAGCAGTGATGGATATCTTGCTTTAGGGCAGCAGAGAAATAAAGGTTCAGTTGGTAATAATGATAGCTCAGTAGTTCACCAGAAAAGAATAGTTTTTTAATTTTGGATTAGCTTTGCTTATCTCGCCAGTGAATTTGCTCTCACTGTCACAGCTGCGCTCCTTTGCCGTAGGTTCTGTGTGCTGGAGGCTCTGCCCCTAGGCACAGAGTTCACTGAGTGTTTGGGATCTGGTCATTGCTCACCCTAGTTCAAACAATTCAGGTTTCTCCAGGTGAAGCTGCCAGAGATGAAGCACTTTATTGCCCACTGCCCAGGATGCCTGGGAACTGACAGTGCTTACATATCCCTGTACTGTTTGCCTCCTGTTCCTCACTGTGCCTTAGTATGTTCAGTGACATTGCAGTTGGTACAGAGCCTGCCAGGAGTGTGGAGTGGTGAATAATCTTATTCCAGTGGTCTGTGAATGTAAGGAAAGTGCACCATTTTCAGGAAACCAAAGTATGGAAATCTGTAGTTAGAGACTGTGCCTTAATTCGTAAATGTGGCAAGGTAGACTTACAGGTACAGAGAAAGTCAAACTCACTTCTTTTTTTAAAAGCATTATCTGTGAAAAATTATATTTTAAGTGTAGTTTTTATGCTGTCAAAGAGTGTAGATTTCATTGTTTGTGAGACTTGGGACTGCTGAAGCAGCCAAGAACCTATAGCAAGTATGACCTATTTAGGAAAAAACACAACTTGCTGCTGATAAACTTCTAAGGTTTTTTTTCGGTGGTTCACTTATAGTACTGTGGAATTAAAATAATGCTTAGAAAACAAATAAGGTTCTTTAAAGCTCTGTGAAAGCATATTAACTAGTTAATCATGGGCTATGGATGGTGAAGAACATTATCCCAAACTGCAAAAGAGGATATAGAAAGCGACCCTTGGGCCACTGTTGATGTGGGTCACTGTCACAGTCAAGATCACAGCCCAGGGTTCTGGCTTGCGCTTCTGAAACTCAACGTGGATTTTTTTATTAAGCTGGATTGGGTCTGATCCTCTTAGCAATGCTGTGATTAGAGAGTCCCCTAACTGGTTAGATGAGTTCAAAGTTCAGACACATTCTTCAGTTGATGGGTGCCATGGAAAAATGCTTATAAGTGTTCTTTGTTCCTTGTCTTGCTTGTTAAGATTTTATTCCTGTGTCAAGCAGAGGTTGGTAGGAATTGACATTTCAGGAGGGTTTCTGAAGGTCATCAAGAAACACCTCACAGGCAGCAGGTGGAGAGCCAGCCTTGCTTTTTGCTTGTCCTTTCAGTCAGTGCTCTGCAGCCCATGTGGTCGGAGGTGCATTTCAGTGGGGCAGCACCAGGGCTGGGCTTGGTTTGGGAGAGGACAAAAGCCCTGCCTCTGAGCACAGCCCTGCTGTCAGCTCCCTCTGTGTGGGCTGTGCCCCACAGCCCTGCAGCCTTGGAAGTTTTACAGTTTCTCTTCCCAGAACAAACCAAAGTTTTGGTTTGCTGCCCAGGAAGAGGACGTTTCATGGATGGGATCACTGGAGTGGAGATCCCTGCGGAATATTCCTCAAGAAAGAAACGAGCTCTCAGACTGTTGATACTTCTTAGCTGTAGTTTTTAGAGTGTTTGTTGTTTGCAGCGTCACAGTTTTTATTGCCAGCAGAGGTTTTTCAAGACTGCAGAGGCACAGGCCCTTGTGAGCTGCAGTGGTGGAGGATGTCTGAGTAAGACACCCCCTGTGGCCCTGCCCTGGGAGGAAATGATGGTGTGTGGAGAGAGGCAGATGAGCTGGGTTTGCAGCACTGGGCCCACCAGTAACCAGTCAGGTTTGCTCGACATGTTCAATTCATGTGCTCCCATGAGCTGTTACACACACAAGAGTTCCTGCCCAGCTTGGATTTTACATGTTGATTGTGATTTGACTTACCAAAAGAACAGTATTAAAGAGTGTGTTATTTTTGGTGTTTGTTTCCTGCTGTATTTACAAGTATTATTTAGGAAAAGCGTGTGTTTTTATGGACACTTTTTCACTTTGTTTTCCATTGCTTTTAACAAATTATCACATTTTTGTCAGATTTTTAAAAGGTGCAAAAGGGAAATATGTTCTAAATTGCTGTTTGTCACTGGATTTCGTGAGTTTTGGTTAAAATAAATTACAAATTGCCTACAGAAGCCAGGAAGAAAAGTGAGTTGTACGTAGAGAAAAAGTAGTAATATAGTTTAGATTGATATTTTTCTAAATATTATGGGGGGGTGTTCTGTGTTTGAGAACACCTCATGTAACAGGGTTTGGTTCGCTTGATGAGAAATTTCCAGAATTGAGCTTGGGACTTGATTTAAAATAAAGAGAAGAAGGGCTGGAGTTTTGCAAGCAGACCCTGCTGTTCTGTTCTACCTTTTCCTCTGTGGACCTTGTTGTGCAACAAAGAAGTTGTGTGTCTGAATAAATGTGTGATTTGGACATAATAGCCTTTTGTGTGTTTGAAGTGGAAGCGAAAATTAATATATTGCTCATTTTCATTCAGTCATGGTAGCTGAATGTTAACATCATGAGGAAAAACATGATGATTCTTGATGTGTGGGACATTGTCTGTGGTTTCTAACAAACCAAATGTGCTGAGGCAGTTTGGGGGATGCTTCTCCAGAGTCACCAAGTGGAAAATACAGCCACCTCCAGGAGCCTCTATGTTGCTTCCCATGGCAGGTTTTCCTGGATGGTTTGTTGTTAAAGCCTTTTGGGTTTCTAGATGGAAGTCCAAAGGGTTTTCCTTCAGAGCTCCTCCACAATCAAGAGCCCTTTCCGTTGGGCTTATGAAGAAGCTGATGGGGAGGTATCAGAAGTAGAAAAGGCCTTGACTCTGTGCAAGCCCTGCTCAGCAATAACAAAACCATCTCTATCCCATCAACACTGTTTCCAGCACAAATCCAAACCACAGCCATGCCAGCCGCTGTGAAGAAAATTAATTCTACTCCAGCCAAACCCAGTGCAGGGTGTTGCTCAGCAGAAGCAGAATTGCTTAAGGAGGTTGGTGACTCGTTCCACCCCACTTGAATGCAGCTCAGAGAGGATGCATCATCACCACTGTTCTCCTCAGGAATTGCTCCTTGGTGCAGGCTGGAAGGGAGCAGAGGGTGGAGTTCAGCCTTTCAAGTTTTCCTGAGCTGAGCCTTGCTTTCAAGTTGGCCTTCTTCTTTCCATCCAGCGTGTGATGGGAGCTGGAGTATATCCTCTCTAAAACTCAGAACCAAAAACCCACTGAAGAATCAGCAAATTTTTTTTTGTTGTTGTTGGTATTAAAAATTATTTTATATCCTGTTTCAACTGTCTTTACACCAATGGTTGAAAGCAGTGTTTGGTCTGTGACTTTGCAGGAGGTAAGTTTATTTGTGTTTGTGTGTATCAGCGGTGTTTGTCCTTTTTGGAAATGCAGTATCCTCCTTTTAACAGTTAACTCGAGCTCACCAGCCGCCTTTTGTAACCAGAAGAAGGAATTTGGGAAAGAGGGATCTCTTACTTTACGGATTGTAGAAACCGAGCAATGCCGAGGAGAAGGAAATGGTTGTCATAGTCAGTAATTTAGTGGTGTGGAGAGAAGGGCAGGAAGCTGTCTGTTTACACCAGGGACAGCTAGCAGGTCTGACTGGTTGGCTGATGCCAGGTTACAAAATGCTGCCTGGGATGGGAGTCCTGCTGTAACGAACCAGCTCCATCTGTTGAACTTCTTGTCATTGCGAGCGTATTTCATAAAACCCTGTAAATATTTCAGAGCCATTGGAAATAGTTTGCTACACATGAAAAGCACTATTTGCTATTTCTGTCTTTACTGTGTCACGTTAGGTTTTATTTAGAGTTAAGCAGACTAAGAGTTTCTTCCTGAGGAAGGAGGCAGTTTTTCACTGCTAGATCTGGGGGGGAGGAGCTGGAAAAGACAAACCATCTCATCGGGCATTCTGCCCTGGGTGGAAGGAGAGTAAAGGTGGCCCTGTGAGAGGCTCTCAGCTGGACTAAGAGTATGGTGAACGGGCTAAAAACATCTCTTAGCTATTGACCGGATGCCCAAGGTAAGAGATCTTTGTCTTATCCCAATGTGCCATGTATGTTCTCATTTAAGAGGAGGATAGCGCATTTCCAGCATGGAGCTTGCTTACACACTTGTCTGCCAATGCAAAGCAGGAACTCTCAACTTCACACTGCAGCTTGCTTTGCAGACACTGAAGCTTTTGGCAAAGGCATAGCAGAAATGTTAAAGCCAACTGGGTTATTTTGTGAAAATCTTAAGAATTTGCTGCTTTCTCCTAAGCAACATCCCTACAGAAAGGTACCGGTGCTGCAGCACCTGGCAGCAATACTGTCCTGATCTGCGCTCAGGTTTTATGTGAAGCCAGGTCTGACAGCTGCCTGCTGGCAGAGCTGTGTCTATAAAAGCCAATATTTCTAAGGAGGTGTGAATAAAATACAGGAAAAAAAGACTTTAGAGATGATGACGATGATTGACTGCGATTTGGTTTTACGCTTTAAAGTTTATATTATCCTTAGAGAAGAATTTTACTTTTAAAAATTCCCTATCCCATACAGGTTACAGTGCAATTAAAATAAGAAAGATCTCCAAAGCTGTGTGTCTTTTAGCAGTGATTATCTTAACTGTGCTAAGATAAAAGCATTTTACTTAGAGTTTCTGTACAAAACAAGTTATTCAAAGTATAATCTTTTGGAAGGGAAACAAACTTACTTTCCTGTACAGGGCAGTGCCTGGTCTAGTTTCACAATAGGCTCACATTAAGGAGAGAGAATTTGTAGAAGTTCTGCTTCCTGCCACAGAGGAAGTTCCCACATAGAAGAGACCTCTTTAGAGCTCTACTTGTCCTGTTTTTGTTTAAGCCGAGCATGCAAAATCTGCTTACACCAGAAATGAAAATTGCAGTTTCATGGTGGTGATTTTGGAGAGAAAAAGTATCTAAGTATAGCTGGTAGGCAGGAGAAAGTGAAAACAGGTGAATAATGTGCTTATGCAAGAAATCACATTTTGCAGGAATGTGTTCACTGAACAACTCTTGGAAATGTTTTTGTCTTAAGTGCTGATGTATGCTGACTTTTATTGTTTTGTCTTGGAGAACATAACTTACCTTTCAAGTGAGAAGAGGTCCTTTTTGAAATCTCTGCATGTAGGTTGCTGCTCCTCCACCTACGAGTTTCCATATGAATGTGGTGTTTTTCCTTGAATTTCCATAGCACACAGATTCCTTTTGCAGCCTGTTTTGGTGTGAAAGATACACAGCCATTTTGTGACTGAAGGCCAGCCTAGTTTTTTCCTCTCTTAAAATCCATTTGAGGAGGGCACCTCTGTCTGTCCCACCTGGCTGTGTTGTTCTGAAGATGAGGATTAGTATTTGATGTTGGAACCCTGGGAGTTCACTGACCCACAAGCATCTTTTGATGCTTGGTTCTGTTTCTCAGCCGTAGAACAGTCACTGAGACTGATTTTTAAAACACCTGAATTATTATTCTCATTATTATGAAATATCATTCTCCTGTGCACTTCCCTTAGTGCTCCATGGAGTCGTTTCTGCCTGTGTGGAGTGGGCAGGGAGGGCAGTGCAGCGAGGCCCTGGAGTTCTCCATTTGGTGTTCCCCTCATAGCCCACTGGCAGGTCCTGGGCCTGTGCTCAGGGGTGAACTCCCCTCTTCCCCCTGGCACTCTGGCTCAGCAGGTTTCCTGTAAAACACCCACTGGTGTCGTTGGTGTGAGTTACAGAGGAGGGCACAAATGGCAGTACAGGATATACGAGTTGTAGGGGCTTCCAGGCTAAATGCTGTGCTCTGCTGGTTCTGCAGGAGATGGGAAGTTGGCACTATATCATGTACGAAATGGACTATTTTTATGGATCCCTGCAGACAGAATTTTGTAAAGTGGAGTAGGAAAGCTTTCTACTTCCGATTGGAAACATTATGAGTAACTCTTAATTGGTCCCTGTTCACTGCTGCTGGGTGGGATTTTATCTGCCTAATTTCTTTAGATGATGAGCAAGCAGAAACCAAGTGCTTTTGTGAAGAGGTCTGTGTTTACTTTTGACAGGGAAGCGCTAAAATCAGTGTGTCACTTGGTGACACAGACCATTGGGATGTAAGTGAAATAGCTGCATTTGCACTGCTGGCTTAATTCACTGTTGTTTTCCAGAGCAGCAGCCCTGTCTGAATGTGCACTCTCGCCTTCTCGGTGTTTTACGCACACAATGCACTCGTTTATTGCTCTTCAATATTGATAAGGATTAATTTCCTTTCCTGGTTGTTCCTTTCTTTCTGCAGAGGGAAAACCGCAGGCTCCAAGAAGCAAGCATGAGGCTGGAGCAGGAGAACGATGACCTCGCTCATGAGCTTGTCACGAGCAAGATTGCCTTACGGAATGACTTGGACCAGGTAATGCTGACACAGATGGGCCCCAGATCAGGCTTGGCAACACCCAGTTTTAGGAACCCAGCTTTGTGCTCCACTGAGAGTATAACACAGCATTAAAAGTGTAATTATTTGTGCCTTTATTTTCCTGACAGCCTCACTCGTAGTTGCATTCAGCTGGATTTCCACATTCAGTGGTGTCTGGCCAACACTGACTGCACCTCCTCTGCTGGGGTTTGCTTAGAAAATGTAAGCCATAACCTTTAGGCACATACCACAGAACGAACATTTCCTTGAAAAAGGCATCACGTACTCCTTGAAAGACTAGTTTCAAGGGAAGTTGCCTTGCAAAATGTCTACGTGGATCTGTTTTTCACAGCAGTTTTAGTACAGCCAACAAAGCTCAGAGATAATGAAGTGGCAGGGCACCAAAAATTAGAAGGGCTCCTGTGTGTTTGTTGATAACTGCTCTTGTTCCCTGTGAAGACAGGAATGTGGAGGGCAGCAGCATTCAGAGCCCTTTGCCTCAGAGATGGTTTTCAGAGAACTACACATTCAGCCCTCTCTTTCTGAGGTGTTGTATGTGGTATTGATAAATGCTGTAACAGCTGTTGTTAAGGTACTAAATAAAGAGGGCCAAACTCCACCACATCTTGTGATTAGTCCCTTGCAGTGGTACCTTTTATAATGTAAAATCTTTGCCTGCAAGGGCCTCTCAGTTGGATTTCCCACAGGTATTTGGCTTGCTTTATCTAACCTCAGAACTGTAAACATCACTGACCACAGTTGTGCAAGCTGTATTTCTGCTTAGGCAGATCCTGGACAGATAGGCTCTGCTGATTTCGATCCATGGGATTCTAAAATTTTGAGCTGTCTGGGTGAGCACAGAGATGTGCTCTGCATGATGGAGCAGGCAGGCTCGTGTGGAGGCCAAAAGCAATGTGCTGAGGAGCTCTGTCTTCCTGCGAATTCCAGCTGTCCATGCAGCAGCTTTATGTCTGCTGCTGCCCATGATTGTTTCTCCTCAAGTGTCACAACAAGGCTGCCAAGCACAGCCCTGTACCAGTCCAATTCCTTTCTCTCCTGCACTTTCTCAGTCTGTCTGTAGACAAAAGTGGCTCCATGAAGTTTTCCCACCCCCTGCCTTCATTCCCAGGCACTGCAAGAAAAGCTTTGTTCTACTGCGCTCCTCATCTGCAAGGACAGGACACCAAACACCACTGCAGGTGCTTGGAGAAACTGGAATGCACACATAAAAGGAGGAAGGGTTTGCAGTTCCTTTAAAGCATATCAGAAAACGGGTCTTTCATCAGATACCCTTGTAATCCCTGAGTTCTTTTGTTTTAAGATGTCAATCTCATTGATTTTCCATTCTTGCACTGCTTGTTTTCCTTTCTCCTATACAGCCTTATACATACTAAGCCATGCAGGGATCCTCAATCCATCCCTTCTGTTGTGGCCCTGGTGGAGCTGCTTCTGCTGCCCACAATCACCACTAACACCCTCATTAATAATGAACACTGTGGCAGAAAGATAAGCTGATACCACCAGTAGCAGTAGAAAACCAAACTGCATCTTGTAGACAAGTTCTGTACGGTTACTTGTTGTTTCCAATGCCCTTTTCCCTCTTGGCTTTTCAGCAAACTCAGTATTATTTGACCGAGGAGTGGTGAGGTGCCCTGTGTATCTCCCAGCTGGGGAGGGCAACACAATGTATCCGGATACTGAGAAATACATTTCTCTCCTGGTGATTGGTGAGGACAGTGCTCACAAAAATAAAGCATTCCCAGTATGTGTCACCATAATCTCAGCCCTTACAAGAAAGGAGAAAATTCCTATTCCCTAGTGCACACACAGTATCAAGTTTCTCCATGTAATACTTATTTGCACTGATAAACAATTTATCTGGTGGTCCTGTTTGTCCTACACTTGTCTTTGCCTGAACACTTTGTAGGGTACAGTGCAGGCACCAAAGTTTTTTAGTTACCTGTTTTCCCTGCTTACAGATGAAAGAAATGGAATGAGTTATCTGAAGTTACACAGTACCTAAATCATGCTGCCCTGACTTAGATTAATATTGGTGCCAACAAAAATATTCTGTACATCATTGTTTGCATTAGGACAGAGTATCTGTGCCTATGTGGGCATAGGTAAACACTTGGCCAAAGGGTCCTTTTGCACAGTTTCCCAGTTTCCACAGGGCAGGAAAAGGCAATGCTAGAACCTGAATCTGCAGAATTTCTGAGCTGTATATCCCAGTGTGTTTGTATTGGCACAGATAAGATCTGATTTACACCAGTGTCCCTGATTTTAGGCTGAAGACAAAGCTGATGTTTTGAACAAGGAGCTTCTCCTGACCAAACAAAAGCTGGTGGAGACTGAGGAAGAGAAACGGAAGCAGGAGGAGGAAACTGCTCAGGTAAGGTGTTCTCCAGCTTTCCCCATTTAGCTAGGAGATGCAAGCAGAAGGATATGCAGAAAAGTGTGGATGTGTTGCAATTGCAGAAGGGATTTTGTCTTCAAAATGCAGTTGCAATTTAAAGTTTGTAGTGCCAGGGTAATTTTTTTGTTCAGTGTTTTCCTTTACTTGAGCTCTGAATGTTTAGTTTTCCATAGCTTATTGTCTTCCCAGTATTTAAAATCATTGTCACTGGCAGTGAGCAGTCGCAGTTAAGGAGATCAGACCTCTTTTAATTATCTAAATGAGGAGCTGGAGGAGCTGTTGCCTTGTAAGAGTCTGTTCTGGATTCAGGTGCTGGATTGCTGAAATAAAGTGTTCCTGCCTGAAGCTGGAACCAACAGCAGAACAGGGATAAGGGCTGGGAGAATTTTGCTGACTAGACCTGGCCTCGTACTCATTTGCAAAATATTTGGTCTTAGTTTTGTAATCCTCTGTAGCTTAACGTGTACGTTTCAAAAGTGATACCCTGACTTTTATTTTTGCCATTTTGTGTCCTGTGGACCATAATGTACCACCATTTAACACAGAGAAAGGGAATTAAGCTACAGGAGAATTCTCTAAGCAGGGATAAAGGGTCACAGTATAGACTTTTTGGTTATCACTGATACAGTAAGGATTTTTATATTGAGTAAATCAGACGCTGGAATTTGGTGAGCAGTAGCTGTAGAGCTGCTGTAAACACAGTGAGACACAGAGAGAACAATCTGATGATGCATATTGAGAACTTCTGTCAGTGTACTAGGTAACTTCTCTCCTTCACTTCCTAGCTGAAGGAAGTCTTCAGGAAGCAGCTGGAGAAGGCAGAATCTGAGATCAAGAAAACCACAGCCATTATTGCAGAGTATAAACAGGTACCGTTCCAGAGGCTCTTTCTTGTATTTCTCCTTTCAGCCTGTTCCGAGAGCTGAATTTTCAGCATTGCACATCTCATCCTTTAAATAAGCTCCACTACCTCTCAGGCTCTCAGAGAGCAACGTTGTAATTTGTCATAAATCTTTTTGTGGGTTTCCTAATAGTCTCATAATTAGGCAATCAGGAATAACCTGTCTTTCAGCTAATTTTAGTACTTTTGGGTGAATGCTTCTGTACTCTGTGACATAGTGCAGTAAAAACATCATAAACCAATTCATCCACAAAATGTCCTGGTCTCTCTGTTCAGGTTCTGTGTTGAATGCTGCTGGTTTTTTATCATGATCAGCAGCAGTGGACTTGTTAGGGGGGAATGCACATACCTGAGTGAGGCAGAATTTAAGTAATGTTTTTTCTAACAAAAAATCATTGTTAAAAAGCACAGGTTCTATTTCAGTTCAGTAAACTTGAGATAAAAGGCTGCTTTCTCTGTTCCAGATCTGTTCCCAGCTGAGTACCAGGCTGGAAAAACAACAGGCAGCCAGTAAAGATGAACTGGAAGTTGTGAAGGTGAGAACAATGCCTCTGCATACGGGATGTTTTGGGATACAGACAGAACAAAATGTTAACTGAACTTTAAAGTTCAGTAGCCCCACATGCATTTTTCAGCACATTTAAACAAGGAAGGAGTTTATTTCCTTTCACAGTTCTTTATCTTATATCAGAGAGGGTGAAGCTCTCAGACTGAAATGCATGTAATACTTGGCTTTTCTTTTTCCTGTAAAAATGTAGATAAAAAGAGTATTCACTTGGATGTTTTGATAAACTGGTGGGGAAAAAAAGGACTCTCTAGAAAAAAAAAACCCATGTGTTGGTTCTCCAGTGTGCACAGTGGAGGGGTTGGAATTGGCCAGATTGGACAAGGTTTATATTTGGTTTTCTGTAATTTAAGCAGAATTGGTTTAAGTAATTGAATCAAATGGCACAGCTTGGGCCATCCCCAGAATTTCCATAGGGTTTGTCTCCCTTCTCTAAACCCCTTACCAAGAACATCTGTATAAGAGGTGAACATTTCCTGATCAGGTAACAATTCCATCCCACTGCTCTGTCACTGCTGAGTAGGCAGAGTTGTTTTCCCTCTGCTGTAGGTTCTCGATTTTTCTTTAGTACTGAACCTGAACTGGATTTGTTGCTTTTTAGTGACTTTTTTATGTTATTGCTAATAACATAAATAAAATAATTCTAGGATTGATATTTCTATATCTGCTGAAATAGCTCAATACCTTGTTTTCGTTTGTGTGAGCCAGGCCAGCTTTTTAATCTGCTCAGAGTTTAATTTAGTCTCCTGAATCGTGCTGACAAAACACTCACTGCAAAATGTTACAAAGCTTTGGTAGCAAGAGGGCTTGAGTAATTCTAACCTGGGAGCAAAGTCTCTGTGATTAGACAGAGTGTAGTAGGTAGATTTTAGGAATTTTTATACTGGTTAACATACCCCGGAAGTTGTTTGTGAACTTCTGAAATTCTTTTCATGCCAAATCGGTAAACTGCAATATTAGATAGTTTGAGATTGAGGCAGTCTGACACAAAAAAGGCTCTTCCAAGAAGCACAACAGCTCCTGTAACATGGATTAAAGGGCTTTCTGGGTATTTCAGGGTAAAGTGATGGCCTGCAAACACTGCAGTGAGATTTTCAGCAAGGAGGGGGCTCTGAAGGTGCCTGCTGTAAGCACAGACAACAAAGGCATTGAAATAGATGATGAGAAGGATGCACTGAAGAAGCAGCTGAGAGAGATGGAGCTGGAACTTGCACAGACCAAACTGCAGCTTGTGGAAGCCAAGTGCAAAATTCAGGTATGTGGAATCCAAGTATAGCAGGGCGGTCACATTGACCTTGTTGTGCTCAGTCCAAAATTACTCTGAACCCTGCAAACAATTGTTCCAAAAGATAGCACATAAGTGCATAGCTGTATATCTGTGAACTTCCAGAAAAAAAATCTGTCCTAAAAAGAAAAAGAGCAGAGGTTTTTATTTGTTTATCTAAATATCTTGTGCTGTTTCTGCAGTTTCAGTCTGTCTTCTCTCCCCAGTCCCTGGGAGGTTGCAAGGAAAGTGCCGGACTGCAGGGACTGAGTGTGCGGATGCTTTTTTCTTGTTAATTAATTGTTTTTTATCAATTCTGACCATTCTGCTTTCTCAGGAGCTGGAGCACCAGAGAGGAGCCCTTATGAACGAAATCCAAGCTGCCAAAAACTCTTGGTTTAGCAAAACCCTGAACTCAATCAAAACGGCCACAGGCACGCAAGCCCCAGCACAGCCCCAGCCGCCCCTGCCCCCCAGAGAGGGCAGCACATAGTTCCGGCCACACCGGCACAAGAGCACAAAGAACAACACAGCTGAAACCCTGCAGGTTTCTTCCGGTGCTCCCTCCTCTTGGGGAAAGGACAAAAGGCAGGAGTGCAGGCTTGAAGTGAAATTCTTCGGTGTTTTTCATTCGTTTTCTGATGTGACCCTTTTCAAAGGGGGGGGGGAGGGAGTAATTCCTGGTTTATGTTGAATTCTTACTTCCCAAACTGCCTTGCTGAAAGCCAAGTTCTGATACCGTCATACTTTTACACTTCATTTTATATGACTAGATGTTAAATAAATACTTCAAACCTAGGTCTTTTATGCAAGATAAAAATAATTTCGAATTATTCATGTATTAAAGGTTTTTTTCTTCTTCTGGAGGAAGAGGGAGACCGGGAAATGTGAAGCACTGCAGCATAATCTCTCCCTGGAAAGCACAGTGTGCTCAGTCCTGGCTCGTGTGTGGGTGTCTGGGATGCCACAGGCCCTGGGACCATCCCCGTTTATCGCAGCGACTGTGTCCTGCAGATAAGCACTTTTTGTAAAGCTTAGGCCATAGCAGAGGTGGGCTTGTGCTCTCCTGGCACAACCCTCATGGGCTTCCCTGACAATCCCTTAGTTTGGATTGGTTTTCCTTCAGAAATGCAAGTAGTGCAGTTTTTTATAGCGCTGTTGTTTGATGGCTGTCTACAGCTCAGCTGGAATTTAACATAAAGTTACCTAGTTCCTTTTTTTTTTTTATTTCGTGTTTATACTAAGAATTCTGAGGAATAATTCCTTCCACTGGGATAAAGGGAAAACTGTTCAACGCTCATTTGATGAGGAGAAGAGTGAAGACCTTGCATAGTTTTGACCTTTTGTAAATCCTGTGCAATAAAGGGTAGGTTTTATGAATAAAACTAATGAAAACCTTTCCCTGGGTCTACATTCAAATTCCAAATTTGACATAGAAATGAGGTATCAAATAAAATACCTAAAAGGCTTGTGCTGCACTGAGGAATAAAACATCACAGAAGCAAGATCTGTTTGCTAGAAGTATTTGGTTAGGAAATGCTACGTTGGTATTACTTATTTTTATAAAAACAAGCATTTTCAAGTGGAATACAAACCCTAGACTTTCCTGTGGGGCAAGACTTCTCTGGTGATTCCCAAACCTGTCTGGTTGTTTTGTATCTCTTAAGGTAAGAAAGTTTAAAAGCATTTGTTTTGACTGAACATGAAGTGTTTATAGAAATACTTATTTCATGGAAAATTAAAACTATTGCTTGAACTGATGGAATATTTTTTTAATTATACCTGTCATGTCTACAGATGGTCTTGGAGGTAAATGTCATTGCTGGACTAAAGGTTGTGTATTAATTGTTCCATTTGCAAAATTGTTCCAGGGACATAAGTTCTGTTTTGTTGGGTTTTTTTTAATTCTAAGGAATGCCATACCTTGTCAGTTTTGTACAATAAAATTCAGTGATACCCATCTTGTGCTTTGTTGTCAAGCATAATTGTGAATTATTTTCAACAGGGTAGTACAGATTTAATGTTACCAGTGCCAAAGTAAAGATTCTGAAACGCAGTCAGCTGTTTGAAGTAGAGATCAAAATATAATCAGCATCCTGACACCATTCTATCTTCTAAGAATAAGGGGTTAAAAAATTAGGTATTTTAAAATGTACTTGCAAGAACAGTGATTATCTGTAAATATTAATACAGTGAGGGGAAAAAAAGAGGGGAAACAGAAGGAATTTCTTTTGCAAACATTAGCAAAGGTCTTTTTCCCTCATGGCTTTTTTGCTCATAATATTTGCATAAATGTTTCCATTCTCTTGTCTGACTAAACCCAGCATTAGTCATTCAGTTACCAGTTCTGCTTCACACATCCACAGATGTGAATCTGAATTTGTAATAAATCTGAAGTGACATTTAAGGATACCTGGTGAACATCTGACTGTTACATTTGAGAGTACTGTGCCCTCCAGTGACACTGGTGGTTTGACAAGTGTCTGAATTTCTCATTTCATTTATCTTTAATCACATGTAGGAGTGGATTTAAAACCTTGATTGGAAAAATGCAGTAACAGGAATAGAAAAAATGTGTAATACTGTGATTCCCTGAGCAGATGAGTTAACAGCTCACAGCTGCTCAAAGATCTCACCCCTCCAACTCCCCCTTGTACAGTCCTGTCCCTTGTCCTTGTTAAAGCACTTACTGGAGAGGATTAAAAACAGCAACAAAAAAATATGTGGGTGGATTCTTCCTTCCTACCCCTCCCCCCTCCCCCGTTTGTCTTTTGCCAAGTGACTGAGTTTAAATCATCACAAAGGGTCCAGTGAGTGGAAGCAGATCATGGGAGTGGGACTTCCCCAGTTCATCAGAGAGGAACTGGGAAATAAGCTCCCCACGTTCATGGAATGAGCTTTGACACAACATCCCTTTTCTCAGTGTAGGAGCCCTCTGACTTTGGAAGTTGACTTTCTGGAACAAAAGTACGTTTGCTACCTGCTAGCTGTGATGCTTTCAAACCCTAGTAGGATGGAATCTGGCTTACATCACCAAAAGGAAGTTTCAGAAGGCAATGACATAAAGGCAGTAAATGAATTCCACCTTCCAGCTGTAGATCCAAGGTAGAGTTTGTAGCAGTGGCATTAGGAAGAGTAACATTTTGCTGGAAACTGTGTCTTCTCAAAACTACTTAAAGAGTAAGGAAATAGCTTTATGGCATTATCTTGGTGAATATACAAGGAAAGGAGTAGGACTGCAGGATTAAACCAGGCAAGCTAAAATTCTGCCTGCTGCCTGCAGGTGCTGCAGGAAAGTTGAGCTTCCTGCAGGAAAAACGTGTGTGTGACAGAGCTACCTGCACACTTATTCTCGATGGATCTGTCAGGGAGAGCTGGCTCCTTGTTCAGCTTTTCAGCAGGAAACATCATCAAAGTCTCACTGAAACTCTTATTTCTGTGTGGCACTCGGACAGCTAACAGAGTTTGTAAGTCTGGAGTGATTAACTGTTTTTCCCTGAGTCAGTATTAAACTGTGTGTCCACATCAAACATTTATTAAAAATAATTTGAATTTTATAAATATATATGTGGAACTAAATCCTATTTTTTAATGTTATTGAGAATGCACCATTCTGAAATTAACCCTTTACTTTGATTAGGGACAAACCTCCAAAGAATATTTTTACTAGAACTGTTTTATGTTGTTGGATTCTAATCTGTTCCTGAGATGCCCGGTATGGTGGGCAAAAAAAAGGAAAAAAGTACTTTTTTCACTTTAAACAGTTGTTGTTTTTCCTTTGACTGTAACACTTTACAGGCTAAATGAAGCAAGGCTGATTTAGTTACGTGGTTACATCTGTGAGCTAGTCTTGTATTATCTTTGTGAACCAAACATAATATTCTAAAGTAATATGACTTATTTAACTTAGTTTACATTTCTAAATATACCTGGAGAGAATTAAAAAGAAAAAATATAGAAAATATGATGTGTGGAGTTAAGCCAGGAAACTGCAAAATCCCTGAGGTCCATGTGCATTGATGTTCAGTAAAACCAATCTCAGGGGAGGTAGTCAGCCATGTAATCAGTCCTGCTAGCTGACAAACCCACCCTTGTCCTACCTGTTAATTAGGATTTAATTTGCTACAGCTGAGTTACATTGCTGCAGCTACCTTAAAAGTGCTTACAGAGGTAAGCAATACTTTTTTCCTTGTTAGACATTTTAAAGGACTTCTTGTGGTTGGTCCTTGAAATTTCTTCTAAGATAAATGATCATCTGTGCCATTGTGTTAAAAACAACTCGAAATCAAAACAGTCATTTACAAGGGGAGAGGGAGAGTCAAGAACTGCAAGAATTCAGCCCCTTGACAAAGCATGAAGTATCCCATTGACTTCAGGGTCATGGTGCCACTCACTGACTGAATGTGGCAGTTAAGGAGTAAATAAAAATCTGCATTTAGTGGCACTAAAGTCTCAAAAGCCACATTGGAAGCTACATGCCACACCTTCTCACGGGATCAAGGTGAGTCTGTTCCCTTCCTTCTATTAAGTAGCTGCAGTGAAATCCATGAAACTACTTGTATGTGTAGGAGAACTATACCTCTGATTTTGATTTACTGTTAGACTCGGGGATAATTGGCAACTTCTGCATCATTTAAGGCCGAACACCTTTGGCTTTGAAACCAGAAGCACTCTTACCTTACAGTGCTGCTGTTCTTCCAGCTGCTGGAGAGAAAACCACAGCAGGTATCACTGATTGCTTGTGAAGAGAGGGCAGAGAGGTTCCCCTCAAGGCTGAGGGGCTGCTGTGGCTGACAGGGACCCTGCTGAAGGGGCTGCTGTGCACACAGCTGGCTGTCCTAGACATACAAACACAAAGGGTAAACCCAAATTATATTTCTGTCTGTTGTGCTAATGTCCTACTGGGAGCTGTCCCATTAACACTAAGGGGAGACACGATGAAGCACTCAAGCTTGGACCTCTCAAGTTTTAGGGTAGGTGCATGTCACAGCTGCCTTTAGAACTGGGCTAATCCACAGATGGCTTTTGGGAAATGCAAGGAATTTGCAACTGGATAAATAATGCTCAGCACTGAGCAAGATCCTATCTTTCCCAAGTCAGAAATCTACACAAATTACTTCAGGATTGTGACTTAACACGTACAGGTTAATTCTCCAGGAATACAGTCTCTCCTGGATTCCAACTGCTTTGCTACTGAATGTATTTCATGCTATTTTTACCTGAAAAAGAAAAAAGATATGGGTAGAGAATTAGGACATTACTTCTCTTATTTTCTTATTCAGTGGGACTTGCTTTTATTTAACCTGTAAAGGAATAGATATGTATCTTTGGAGAACTATATCTTATACGTAGAATAATATATAAGAAACTGAACAGCAAGGGGATAAATACATTGAAAGGATTTGGTATCATAAATTTCATTTGTGATTTGATACCACCAGAATCCTGGGCTGTACTAATTTCCCTACAGTTTCTCTTATTTTTGTATTTTATATAATACATGGATGGTACTACCAATGCAAACAAGAGCAGATGTTTCCAGATTTTTCTCCAGGTGTCAATTCCCTCTTTCCAGTAATCCCTGGATTTGCATTGCTGCTGATACCACCCTCAAAAGCTGTGCCAGGAACTGTCTGGAGCTTTGAGAACTGTTGTTTTCCAGGGAAGAAGATTCCTTGCCTTCTCTGAACTGGGAAAAGATGGTACATGAGTACAGAAAAGGGTCTACCCAAGCATGATCCAGCTCCCTCCGTGTCTGCCATTTAGGTGGATTCACTCCAGCCCACTGAAAACAGAGCAGCTTCAAAGCTCTGACTCCATTACAATGAAGTTTTCCAGGTTTGGAATTGCCTTTGTGATCTGTATGTGTGCCAAGTTCACAAATCCCTCTAAAGAGTTAGCAAAAAAAGAGCATCACAGAGAGATCAGACTTTTAACTGAGAACAATTCAGTACTGCCACTACTTGAGTAAATAATCCATGTATTATATAAAGTATGACATGGAAATATAAGTGTAATGCTTGTTATTAAAAGTGCAATTCAATGTACATGGTCACAAAAAATGTTTACTTTTTTTTAATTGTTACTGAATTGTTTGGATCAGTACCTTGTTATCATTGTGTTAACAATGCCTTGTAAAATAAATGGAAATGGACAACAACATGGGAATAAGGTGCTTATTTTTCTGAGCCATTTGCTTAAGAAACAGCTTCAATCTCTTGGCAGGAGTAAGCAGCTGCTGTGTCAGGTTTTGTGATGCAGCTGGTTCTGTTCAAGCAGCTCTTGCACCAGTGACTCAGCAGATGAGCTGTCCAAAACGTGTGTGCTACTCGGCTAATTCCAACCCAACCCTTAGGGAACTGTTCACAAGGAGCTGTGCCAGAGAGCTAACGGGTCACCCTGGTCCTCTGCTCCAAATGCCAGTCTGGTTTCCAGCACAGAGAATGCTTTTCCTAAAGGCTGGGGATACTTACCAACAGTTGATATTGGTAAGGACTTCCCACTTCCCTGGAGTACAAGTGAGCCATGAGGCAGCAAGCCTGCAGGAAGAGACACAGGGAGCAGAAGGAAACAGCAAGACACTGGAAACGAACTCCAAAGAGAGGCATAGCTGAGCAAGAACAGGACTGAGCAGAATGTACCACAGTCAGAAGTATCCAAGCAATTTATAAAACCATTTTTCCACGTGAGCAACTGCTCTGGGATTTTCTATTACCTGAGATGAACAGCCATTGTTCCCAGATAGCTGGAAAAGCACACAGCACTTCAGGGGAAGATAAGAAGGCAAAGAGAGAGAAAAGCTGAAGATTAAGTTTACCAGGCGTAACATTTTGTATTGATTTACCTCCACATCACTATCCAAAGTGTTTGTCAGGAGAGGATGCAGCACCCAGATGCTGCTGCAGCTTTGTGCACAGGAGACCTGTGTGGAGCTTGTTTTTACATGACAAGAGCGGTTAACTCTTCCATGTGGAAGCTGCCACTCAAAGGGCAGCCACAGGTGCTGAAATGCTCCTGATTTAAGGAAACAAAATAAACACTGTTGTGGGGGTTTTTTTTAAAAATCTCACGGGGAAAAAAAGCAAATTGCAGGCTCAAATGCATTTATGGAGTAATGAAAGCATCTTCCTCCTAGAAATTAATGTACAAATTTACCAATTTGAATTGTAAAAATAAGAGCACTTCCTAATATAAGACCACAGCTGAGAGTGGAGAGACTCAAAGGAAAAAATATAAGGGAAAAAAACACAGAAGTTTTTTTCCTGTTTCAGTGGCTGTTCAACAGAAAGATCGTAAGGAAGCAATTTCTGAATAAGCAGAAATTGCTTATTCAGAAATTGAGAAATCATGCCATGGAAGTAAATTCCAGTTGACCATACTGTATTTTCTGGATAAAATCAATTATCCTGTCTCCAAATGCTGTTCCTGAAGATGGTCAGGCTTAAGCTCATTCCTGTGAAAATTAAACATAATCATAGTTAATTTTGCAGATCTTTCCCAACTGCAGATTCTGAAGCACTGCAGCAGAGGGTTATAATAAACACCTCACTACAACATCTGTTAAAACTGCTGTGGGGAATGCAGACTTAAATATCAATCCTTGGCTTCAGGGTTTCTGTGAATTCATCATCAAATTTCTCCATACCTCTGCAAAGTAAATATCCTCACAGATTAATTAATTCCTGGATATTCACTTTAGAAGAGAAAAAAAACCCCAAAACCTAAGCCCCTAAATTGGCAAATGAGCTGGAATTCCCCAACTTGGTAAAACAGGTGTTCTAAGTGATACCTTTTTTTACAGAAATTGACTTTTTAAACATTGAAGGGCTGTGTCCTGCCTTGGTTTCCACTGTTTATAAAGGACAGCTGGAAGCAAATAATCCCTCCTCCACATTTCTACTGAGAGAAGGATTGATGTTGCCTTGTCTATTTTTGTTTTTGTGGGAAATCTTAATGCCCAGCAGGAACCTGGGGATATAGAAACTTTTTTGTTGGTGCTCAAAGTGCTGATTTAGTAAGAATTGTGAGAACCATCTTTTTCTTTCAATGAGGAAAATGCTTAAAGAGGATTTTGGTAGCATTACACCAGTGTATTTTTACACACATATAGCCACATTTTGTGAATATCCTTCCAGATGGTTTGATAAGTAAATCTTCTCTTACTCCCAAAGTCACTCCCTGAGAACAGATTGTGACATTACAGGTTAGGAAGAACTTCCCAGCAGTAACTTAGACTCTGGTTTTGCTCTAGAAAGCTCACTGTGCATTAGTTGTGGGGGTTTCCCTGAGGCAGTGTGTGTTTGGGGAGCTGTGCCATCTACCCAACTGCTGTTAGTTTGAATTCGGTTTTTTTATTGATGAAAGCTTAGAACTTGAAAGCTTAAACCGTGCTGGAGTTACCTTGGAGGTCTTTTCCAACCTTAATAATCTTTTCCGTGAAAATGAGGAGCCAACAGAGAAAGGGGCACTCGGTTTGTCAGCCTTGTTCCCTTTAAAGGCTGGGAACGCAAATTTCTTCCCTTTTCATCATTATTAACTCCACTGCATCAACCTGATATTCTTTACCTGAAGAAGGAAAACAATATGTTGTTTTGCAAAACTATTTGAGGCCTTCACAGCCATGAGCTCTGTGGCGTCTGCCATAAAACCAGTGGGAGAAATCTGACGATCAAAAGAAAACGTGCTCCCTGCCCACTGCAGGGAGCTCCTCAGCCTCCGGCCCCTCACAGAGTTATAGCAAAGTCCTCTTACAAAACAAGGTGTGCTCTCACACATGAGATACGAGTGACCGGAGCAAGACAGGTGACAGTTACAGCGAAACTCCGTGAACACGACATAAGGTTTGAAAATTGAAACAAGGCTTCTCGTAACCAAGTCATTAGATATAGATATTCATGCAAACCACTATATAAGCGTTACTCTTGTTGCCATTTGTTTTTTGAAGAGACCAGAGATAGCAGCAAGGTCAACCTAGACCATGCTGTTATGTCACCTTCAAAGGACAAATGGTTTCCTTCCTAGACCCTTGCAAATTCAGGGCGGCACCGCCCACCCCTCAGAGCCTCGGGGCGGGAAGGCTCCATGTCCCGCCCCATGTCCCTCGTACCCCTCAGCGCCCGGGGGCGAGAAGGCTCCGTGTCCCGCCTCCTGAGGGGCGGAGCGGGCAGTGTCTCGTCACTTCCCGCGGCCGGAAGGTTCCAGAGGTTCCAGCGGGAGCCGTCATGGCCGCGGCGCGGGAGGAGGTGAGGCGGCTTCCGGCGGCTCCGGCCTCGCCGCCCCCGGGCGCTGCGATCCGTGCCCGGCCGGGAGCGGGGTGGGAGCGGCAGCCCCCGCGGTCGCCAAGGGCTGCGGGGGTCTCCCCCTGCGGCGGGGCGTGTCGGGGGAGCCGTGCCATCCGCCCGGCTCCTGTCGGTTCGGGTCGTTTCTTAAATGATGAAGGGTTAGACATTGAAAGCTTAAAACTTGTTGGAGTTGATGATCTTGGAGGGTTTTTCCCAGCCTTAATAGCCATATGCTCTAGGGTGGCCCTGGCTGAGCAGGGAGGCTGGGCAAGGTCCTTCCAACCGGACCCGTTCTGCCATTCTGTGAATTAAGATTTGATGGTTCTATATATGTGGTTCTATATGGTTATATATCCACAGGACATATATATGTATATCTCACAGGGGGTGAGGAAGGAATGGCTCTGGGTTTAACGAAACTAATGACCTGATAAACGTGAAGCTTCTGGAAAACGGGAAACTGTCGCAAAGAGCTCAGCTGTGAGCCCTGAGGACAAAGAACTGTGTCTAATATATATGTGACCTTTTGGTTTTGAACCAGCTGCAGAAAGATCTGGAGGAGGTTAAAGAACTGCTCACGAAGGCCACGAGGAAGCGGGTGCGTGATGTCCTGCTGGCAGAGAAACACAAGCTGGAGATAGAAATCAAGAATCAGCCTCTGCTCAAGCCCAAAGATGTGGCAGAGGAAGAAAAGTCATCGCTGGGAGGGTACACAGTGAAAATAAACAATTATGGTAGGATTATTTTTCTAGCATCTTTCTGAAGAGAAGGCAGGGTGGCATTACTTTGAGTTAGAGTTGCCACTTATCATTATAGCAAAACCTTTTTAAGTTTTTATTTCATACTGGGGACCCCACTTTAAAGGTACCCTGCCATGCCAACCCCACTGTGTGTGATGGTGCTGGTGCGATGCATTAAGGATCCCTGGTGTACCAGCTGGTATTTTTCCATTACCTAGTGCTTAGCAGAAGTGAAGGAGTGAGGTTTGGCTTCTCTGCTTGCCATGTAGGTGAGAGGAGAGGGAATTGCTCAAGATGCAGGGAGTAGGGGAAAAAGTGGGTCAAGGAAACTGCAGCAGGAACAGACAGCTGCCTCCAAGTACCCCTGCACAGATGGGGTTGCTCTCCTTTCACCTCAGCTGATGCATGTTTTTTCTCAGAATTTGCAGGAATTAGGGAACAGGGCTACATGTAAAGACCTCCTTTTGCTCTTGAGTTATTTCTGAATAATTCATGTTTTCCCCTATCCCTCTGAAGATTGTTTCAGTAAGGCAGAGTTCGTAGTCATTTTAGGGGAGTTTGTGGAGGGAGCTGGAATGGAATGTATGAAGCTTATGGAGGAAAAGTAGAAGTTAGTCTCTGTTTTTTCACTTGCAGGTTGGGATCAGTCAGATAAGTTTGTGAAGATTTACATCTCTTTAAATGGAGTCCAGAAGCTTCCAGCTGAGAATGTGCAGGTGAATTTCACAGAGAGGTGAGTTCATCTGGTTGTACCACAACAAGAACACTGTTTGAAATGCAGGAGTGTTGGATAAACCCTTACTCCCCACTCCTTTTTTCTTTTTTAAAACTTGAGCTGTATTAGCTCTTAGTAGCACTCAGGACATACTCTGAAGTACAGCTCTCCTTAGAGGGTATCAGGATGTTTTCATTTTGCAAGTGCTTGTTGCACCTCACCACGCTTGACAGGATGTCTAGTGTCAGCCCTGGTTTTTTGATGCTGATAGAACTTAAATATACATTAAAGAAATCTGCCTTTCCAAGGTTGTAGGAGTTTAGTAGAAAGGACCCTGAAGATCTTGATTTGTTGTGAAGTCAGGATTTGTCCTTTTAATTTCTTAGTGTTAAAATTCAACTGAACATTTGAGAGCCTTGGGAAGAAACTAATCCAAGCTTGTTGACCTGCTTTCCCAAGAAATACACCTGCTTTCCTAAGAAATAGATCTGCTAAAGGGTTTTCAGACATTGCAATGATTGGAATATTTGTGCCTTTCCTCCCTCCACTTTCTGGTTCCAGGTCATTTGATCTACTGGTGAAGAACCTGAATGGAAAGAACTATACCATGACCTTCAACAACCTCCTGAAGCCCATCTCTGTGGAAGGCAGCTCTAGAAAGGTGTGTTTGAGACACCTTGTCTGTTAAAAGATAATTTAGGTCCCTCACAAAGTATCATGTTCATTGCCTGATTATTTCAGGAGACTCGGTCCTAACCTTCAGTCTCTCCCTTCTACTGTAAAGTCTCTGCACTGTGAATGTGATTCTTATTAATCTATGATTGTCATAACTGTGGAATTAGTCTCTGGAATCCTATTTCAAAAGATTGTGTCTGGATATACTATGCTTTTTTTTTTTTTTTTAATAGCTCTCCAACAGGATTTCAGAAATAATTAAGCAGAAAATTCCACCAAGCATCCATTTGTATCTTCGTGCTTTTAAATACCTCTGAGAAATTTTCTGCAGTTTTAAGGTCTAAGAGATTTGTCTGCAGAATGAAATCTTGGGAAGCCTAAAGTGGCTTAATTCCCAAAGCAAAGTCTGAGACATGCTCTTCCTTGGTAAGGGTGTATTGCTCCAGAACTGAACACTGGTGGTGTGGTTTAACCCCCGCTGGGGTTAATTTTCCAAGGGAAAAATTCACTCTATCCCAGCTGAAACCAAAACATTAATAACATTTTACTGCTGCTGACTGCAGCTGGTGATATCCATGCTCTGCTACTTGTAGCAACTTTCCAGGCTTAGGGAGGTGTCACACACCCCCTGTGTGTTCTCTGCTGCACGTGGTGAAGATGCTGCATGATGGGAAGAAATGATGGTTCAATTTGAAATTGCTCTAAAACTAGGATAGAGTGAAATTGAAACAGCTGAAATAAATGAAGGTGATGCTCTGGTGATTTTTTTAATATGGGCTGAAAGTGAGCAGTGGTCACATACTTGTGAAGCAGCAGCAGACTCTTGTCTGCTGTGGCAAGTGGGAGTTCTTTGTGAAATTTAGGTCAGGGTTGCAATTAAACAGGCTTTGTTTGTAACTTGCAAACATGCTGCAAGATTAAGCAATACCCTAAAACTAGTTTCTTATCCTTGGAGAGAGAAATTGGAAGAGTGTCTACCTGAACTTGGTGTGCTTGGAGAAGTCCAGTAGGGAGTCTAGACCCTCTACAAGGCAGCCCTGGGTACCTGAGTATCCTGAGAATCACTGAACGGTGTTTATGCAGCACTTAATGTTCTTCTGTATTGGTACTGTAGTTCTGTACTAGAATTCTAATTATCACACCATTTAAATTGTTCACAGTGACGTTAATACTTCGTGCCTTAAAGCTGAGCACATGCTATAATTTTTGTAGGCTATATAATAATGAATAACTGAGAGAAAGCTTTCAGGAATTTGTGCGTGTGAAAGAGGTTTATGTTATAAGCTAATCTTATTCATTGTAACCAGGATCCCTTCACGTAGCATTCTAAACTCATGCCTTGGTGTTCGCCATACAGATAAAGACAGACACGGTCCTTGTGATGTGTAAGAAGAAGCGGGAGGAAAAATGGGATTGTCTCACTCAAGTGGAAAAAGAAAGCAAAGAGAAAGAGTAAGTGTCCTTTCAACCCTCCATCTTGTTTTCCATTTCTTGTTCTCCATGTTCCCTTAGGTCTGTACTGTAGAGAGGTCTGTACTGTAGAGAGGTCTGTACTGTAGAGAGGTCTGTAC